TCTGGCACACTCCCAGAAGTAATGTCACAGCTTATGGGAAAGTCAGAATTTGGTTTCTGTAAACTGCAGTGTGCCATGGAGAAATCCCCATGACTAGTATGAGCAGATTGGCTATGAAAGTCAAAGCATCCATGTCCAAGAGACCCTATTTTTGCAGAGGGATTTTCCAGGAGACTCCTTTTTTGGTAGAATGCAATTTCAGCCAGTGATTCAAAAGGGTTCTCCTTTTTTTTTTTTTTTTTTTTTTTTTTCCCAAATTCATTTTGCCAACTCGTGCTGTACAAGACAAACTAACTTCCTTCTGTTGCATACGGTGAGAGGTATCCCTCCGGAGAGAAATTCTGTGTATTTAGGAGCTGGGAGTGGATTCCCCTTCCATGAACGAGTCCAGCCCTTCCTTGAACCCATGCAGACTCTTCACATCTGCAATTTCTTGTGCTAAGTTCCAGAGCTGAATTATTTGCTGTGTGAAGAAGCATAATCTTCTATTTGTTCTGAACTGGCATCTGCTGACTTCGTCCTCCTCTTCTCATGGGGAGGAGACAGCAAATAACTGTCCTGGTCCCTGTTCACCCCTGATGCTAGTTATAGCTCTCCCCGCCCCCCAGGACCTGCTGTGTTTTGATCATCCGTGTTGCTCCTCTCTGAACATTTCCAGTTCTCTCCCTTCAAAATGGAAGGACCAGAAGCTCACTGAGTAATCCTGAAATCCTCCTCCTGAGTAGTAATGGTCAGCTTTGAGCTTGTAATTTGAATCAGAAATTATTTTTTGAATGTGTATTAGCAGCCAGAAAAGGCCAGCAAAATGTTGGGCATCAACGAGAGGAGTATTAAGAGCAAGACGGAGGCATCATTTGGCTGCTATGTTGAGTCCTTCCATACCTGCATTCTGTGTACTGTGCACATTGCTGGCTTCTGCATCTCAAGAGGGACATAGTGGAGTCAAAACCGCCACTGAAGTGAGCAAGGGAGTGGAGCGACTGCCTATTGAGGAGAGACGAGAGAGTCTGGGACTCCTCCATTTGGGGAAGAGGGACACCAGCAAGGTTCACAGAGTCGTGAAGAGGCTGTGTCCTATCGCCACTCTGAGGCAGACCCCTGAGAAGCCTTTTCAGCAGACTTTTGCTAAAAAGGGCAGGTCATTGATTGCTCTGATGTGGCTTTGTAGTTGCCAACGTTCTGGGGAAGCCAAGATGATGATGATGATGATGACGGCTTTGCACTTACGGACAACCCGATCACACCTTCCTCAGCTGTCTTCCCTATGGTGAAAACCCCTCAGTGTGAGCATATCAGCCCTGGTATGCTGGTACCCATCAACAGGTAGGAACTCGTACTACTGTCTCTCTGCTAACCTTCTCCTTTTTCATTTTCCCCAAGATTGGGGGGTTTTTTTTGTCTTCTCAGAAAGGTCACTCTTGGAACTGGGACACCAGTTCACTTCCACTGCATAGGAAATCCTGCAGCCCTTGAGGGATTTGTTTAAGGAAAGCTCTTTCCTTTGACAGTGCATGCCATTTGAGCTACTCAAACAAGCATGGGCAATGAAAACAAGGCCAATCGTGTGTCCCTTTACCCTTGGAGAAGGTAGTGATTTGGGCTTCAGCCTCAGCAGAGCTTTCTCTGCTCATTTTGAGTCTTAACCTCATAACCCAGTTGCTTCAGGCTTTACTGAAACAAACTGGAATTGCCTTGAAACTTACACTGCAAGTGGCATTTTCTCTGATGGACAAGAAATGAACTTCATCTGGGCAGATGATGAAGCTTTGTCTGATACTTGCATTAAGAGTTCTAGCATGTAATCTCATGAAACTCTTCTGTCTTGTTATACTCCCAGAGCTGCTGTTATATTTAATTGACAACAACTGTTTTGAATGGCCATGCTACTTTTCCTTCTGAATTAGAGCTGTATGTATAATGCCTTTAAGTGTATCCAGCAGATTCTGCAGGCAGCACACCAGTGACACTAAGGTGCTTGATTACATCTGCAGGAATGATTACGACAGGCACGTATTCAGAATGCAGAAGAACACGCAGGGCAGCAGAGGCACCTGGGACAAGGTCAAGAAGAAGTCGGTAATGCTGGTTTCCTTGAACGTTACCTAGTTCTACCTTAGGGATGCAAAGTTTTGCTAAGCAGCAGGCAAAAGAATCCTGGGATCACAGACTAGTGTGTATATTCAAGAGGGAAAACAGGAACCCTCTCCTACTTCTGCCCAAACTTCTGGGTTTTGTATCTATTTCTCTCGGAGAAATGTTCTTTTCGTTAGAAAAGAGCTATTTATTGTCAGGGTTAAATACATTGCTTTTTTTCAGGATTTGTAACTGCTTTTGAATTCTGTGATCTTCAGGTACATTAAGTTCCTGTTATATTCTTCTGTACAGTGGGAAAGGAAACTAATTCTCACCTTGTATCGGATAGTCCCTGAATTGATGTATTTATTCCTTTGCTATCCTGGGTTTTGTAATTCTTCTGGCTTTTCCATGAAAAGCTGAGATCCCAGAAGCAGAAAAATGAATTCTGCCTCTAGTTTAGTGAAAGCATTTGCTGAACAGTTTAGATTATTTAGTGAAAATGTAGCATAGTGATAGGGCAACTTAATTCCAGGGTAAGACTGACTCTGTGCCAGTTCCCCTGCGCTGTTCTGACGTTCCTGTAGCAGCTGTGTGAGCAGAGCCTTTTTGTCCTTTCCATCAGGCCGAAGGTGTGCTTGGTACACCAGCTTCACGCAGAACCCGGTTCAGTTTTGAGAACAGTAAGTACTCCTTGTTTCTCCTTCATTTCAGGTTCCTTTGCTTACTTTCACATAGCCACTCTTTTGTTGGGTGTCCACAATCTTTGCTTTTAATAATTTTTTCCTGTCCTGGTTTCAGCTGGGATAGAGTTAACTGTCTTCCTAGTAGCTGGTACAGTGCTGTGTTTTGAGTTCAGTATGAGAAGAATGTTGATAACGCTGATGTTTTCAGTTGTTGCTAAGTAGTGTTTAGACTAAAGTCAAGGATTTTTCAGCTTCTCATGCCCAGCCAGCGAGAAAGCTGGAGGGGCACAAGAAGTCGGCACAGGACACAGCCAGGGCAGCTGACCCAAACTGGCCAACAGGGTATTCCATACCATGGGATGTCCCATCTAGTTTGGGAAGTGGGGGCGGGGAATCGCCGCTCGGGGACTAGCTGGGTGTCGGTCGGCGGGTGGTGAGCAATTGCCCTGCGCATCGTTTGTACATTCCAATCCTTTTATTACTACTGTTGTCATTTTATTAGTGTTATCATTATTAGTTTCTTCTTTTCTGTTCTATTAAACCATTCTTACCTCAACCTGTGGGTTTTACTACTCTTTCCCGATTTTCTCCCCCATCCCACTGGATGGGGGGGAGTGAGTGAGCGGCTGCGTGTGGTGCTTGGTTGCTGGCTGGGGTTAAACCACGACATTTCCACACTCCGTTTCTCATAAGCGTCTTTGCTTTTTGGACCTTCTGTAACTGCTTTCTAAGCTCAGGCACACACACTAATACTTTCCTGTTTTTCTTATTGCAGAAGTGAAACAGACCCCTGTTGTAGAGAAGCTCTTTGGGGCTGAGGCAGCAGATTCCTCGGATGAAGAACAGGATTTCTATTTTTGTGTTTAATGAACTTTGTGGGTTTTATTAGTTCAGTACTTATGTGCCTCTTGTACAAAGCCAAGGGCTTTGGCCACCTCTCTGAGATGGTGTTCCTGTCATGTTAGGAGTTCAGTCCGGAAGCCTTGCCCTGGAGTGTTTTTATGTGTTTTAACACCATTCTCACCTCGCTACCTCTCCAGCAACGTCTGTCATTTTTTCTGTGTGTACAAAGTAGCGCTTTCTTGCCCAGGCTCTTCCATTCTGTTGCCCTGGTTCTCCTGGGGGAGGGGGAAATGTACATGGATATGAATTACTGGCAAGTTCTGATTTGTTTTAAGATAAAATATCTTCTTGCAACATAGCTGTGCAATAAACTTATAGTTGTACAGGCTCCAACTCATTGGAATTGCTTTTTAACTCCTCCTACTAAGAATCTGAATTTTTACATTTCTTTAATGTAATAAAAAAGGACAAGCTTATTTGTATGAATCATGCTCTTTGAGGGGGAGAAGCAGTATTCACCAGCTACCCATCAGTCTTGTTTATCTTGTCAGCTGGGCCTGCAAGTTTTCATCCCCTCTCTTGTTTTTGAACAGGGATGAACAGCTGACGCCAGCCTGTTGCTGGTCTCTATTAGTCCCCCGGACCTCATGTGTCAGCAAGGTTATTTATCTCTGTTCATGTCCCTCACTTATTTCTGTAGGGGTCTCCTCACCAACACGCTCCAGATGGGGAGGGAAGGAATAAAAACCTGCTCCTTTGCCAGGCAGCCACCGTGTGGCAGCAACGAGCTGCAGCCTGTCCCATGGCAGGGGAAGCATCACCTGCAGCCAGAGCAGGAGGGAATGGTGGTGACCAGTGGGCACGGGCTGGAGACAGCAGAGGGGACGAGCTGCGAGGCCACCCGAGAACGAGGGGACTTCCTCGCTGCCCTCTACTTCAAACCTAGCAAACCCTTCAGCGTTCTGGGCAGGAAGAGTAAGGCACATGTGGAGTTCACTTTTTTCCTAGGAAACCTGGGTACCAGTCCTGCAGGAGGCTCCTTCCCCTCTGTCACCACCTTTCTGCCTAAGCCAGAAAGCTTTACTTTGCCAAAACATTATCCTCATTTTTAAAGGAATTTTGGAAGGGTCCTGCCCTGCCCACAGAGCCATATGCCCACCTGTACACGTTCACCCAGTGCTGACAGCCAGCAGCCCGGGCGGCAGCAGTGGGGGCACGGGGCTGTGTCTGACTCTGGTGCCCAGCAGAGACTCAGCCCTCCATTAGGCACCCGACAGCAGTGGATGGAGCATGCCAAAAGCCCTGATGTTTCTGCAAGGATTTATTTACATATTTTACATTGAATCAAAACTCAGTAAAGTGCAGTAAAACAAAAAACAGCCTGGGGCTCCAGAAACCAAAGTTTCACTCCACTCAGCTCTTGGCAGCTGCATTGCTTCTCCCCTTAGCGCAGAGGTTCTCGGGCAGCATCTGCACGTCAAAGCCGTAGTGGAGGTGGCGGTAGATCTCCTCCGCCTTCTGCAGGCTGACCTGGGCGCCGGTGGCAATGTCGGAGGGGGAGCTGTAAGAGAGACCACAGCAGGAGGGCACCTCACCTGCAGCTCTTTGGAGTCCAGCGGACGGATGACACCAGGACAAAAGGGGAAAGTAGCCAGCGGGCAAGAAGTGGCCGGTGTGAGGAGAGCAATGGGAACACCACGAGCTGCTGGCGGTCACCTCTCTGGGTTTCTGAGGGCTGTGAGCACACCAGACTAAGCAAGCCTAAGAAAGCTGCAGAAAAAACAGAGGATGCCATGGAAGGGAAAGGAAAAATAGGGCAGCAGGAGGGACAGCGGAAGCAGAGCCCATGTCATTGCCCTGCTCGGCTTGAAGAGACACGCATAAAGAAAGAGCGGGACCGATGCAGAGACAGGAAGGCTCCTGGGGAGCGCTGGCAGTAACTGAAAGGCACAGAAAGGATCTGCCCGAGCAACTACCCCCGCGGGAGGCCCCGGATGAGACAGAGGAGTAAGCCAAGCCTCAAAGCACTTGCCGTACATCTTTGCTGTTACCTGTTGGCCATCTTCTTCACGGAGTCAAAGTAATGGCACATATTGAGAGCAGCCAGGTAGCTGAGATTAGGAAAACTCAAGTAGAAGTTGAGCATTTCCTGTTTGTGACCCTCCACCTCTGTCGGCACGCGAATGGCAGCATTTTTTCTTTGCTCCACCAAAGCCAGGTCTTTCAGCAAACCGGCAGTTTCCTCTTGGCAAGAGCTAAAAAGAATTTTGACCCCGGCCTGGACCAAGGCTGAGAGCACACCATCGTAGTACTGCGTCCTCTGGAAAAATCGTGACGTTTCTCCTGCAGCGTGAAAATACAGAAAACTCAGTGAGATTTAAGTGCTAAATTGCTGTGAAAAATCTAATATGAATCACCTGCAAAGCAAAACACCTCAAAGATCCCCTGCTGACGAGGGAAAACATCTCAGGGAAAGGAGGCAGGGAGGGGTCATAGGAACAGGATTTACTTGGTTATTTGAGATAAAGTTCTCAAAGGACTTTTATAAGGAATTTTATAATTACAATATAATTATAATTTATAAAGGAATTAACACTGAAATTCCAAATTAAATGTCATTAGGGGAGAGGAACACATGATAAGTGATAAACAACAGGACAGACTGAATCAGAAGAGGTTTGGGTAAAGCTACAAAAGTAAGAATGCACTTGAACACTGTTAAACAGGAAACCAACAACACTCTGGAAACAGCATAATGAGAAAAAAATGGACAAAAACGATGAAGATGAATGACACCTTCAGCAGCAGGGTAAAAAGGCAGCTCAAACTCAATCCACTTATCTACAGCCTGCTCTGAGAAGCTACATCTTCAGTGACCTATTCTATCATTGTTTTCATATCTGAACTATCAATAAATTAGATTTATGTCACAAACCCAAAGCTACATCCACAACAATTTGATTTCGATAGTGGAGTTTTATATCCCAGAACATCTGTAATTTAGTTGGAGCTGTGAGCTCTAGTTCCATCTTCAGTGAAGCAGGTGCAAGCAAGACCTCTCAATTATTTTCTAGACGGCACTGAGAATAGACAGCGTTACTAAAATTGTTTGATTGCATAATTTGGATCTTAGGATTAAAACAAATGGTTTGTCCAAACTATTTAAATTAAAGCAATAGTCTTGAATTTTCCACAAATGCTTAATCGAGTCAGGAGGCATCTTTGAGACTCCTGTTCTGTGCTTTGTGACACAAGGCAATAGCTCAAACAGCCTTCCCAGGTAACTCTTTGTAGGAGTACTCTTTTTGCCTTTTTCTAAAAACTGATTTCATTCAGCTGACTTATCTTTTGCTTGTTCAAGCAGCAGCCATTATGTGTTGCTCTCTACAATTTGGAGGTAGACTGAGTATGTGGGATGGTGTGCTCAGGCCGGCTACCATTCTCACTGGTTCTAAACCATGAGAGTTTTCCTATACAGTTTGACAGATACCACTTGTTAGGTTACTGCTAGAAAAAATATTTTTCTTGAGTCCGCTATTATTTTAGTGCTGAGCGTAGATTGTGCTTGTTCCTTTCTTCTACTATTCTCACCTTCTTTGTTGAAATCTGTCTTGAAGTTGGGTTTTTCGGCATATATTAATATGGTCAGTTAATAATGTTTGAGTTAACTTGCTTTTTCACTGCCTCAGTAATTATTATGCAATGTATCCCTCGGGATCCAGTTGTGTATCTCTGCCTATATTAAGTGGCCCTCAAAAGCAAAACAAATTTTAATGTTCAGCTGGTGACCTTATTAACGTAACACTCCCACAGAGACTCAAGGTACAGGTTTTCAATCTACTTTCTCTCCCATATTATACAGAAAGCTAGTATGGCCAGTACAAGCCTTGAGTGGAGACCGGTGCGTCCCCATGCTGCCCCTGCCTGGGAACACCTACCTGTTTTAATCCTGTCCTTTTCCACAATCACACATATTCTCTCAAACATGCCCTGCAGGCGCTGGATCCGCTGGGTGACTTTATTCCTATTCACAGAGTTCAGTAATTCTGACAGAAATTTCCTTTCCACGGCCATGCGGTTGCTCACGATGTAATCGCTGCTGCTCAGCGAGCAAACCTGCACCTTTACTCCGTGAACTGCCTTCAAGGAAGAAATCACCTCTGCTCCAGAGGAGATCTCACGACTGTCTACCAGAATACAGAGGGAAGGCTTTTTCTCCAGAGGGTCATGTGAAAAGAGAGCTGTAGCTGAAGAGGGTTTTGTGGAAGCAGAACGAGTTGGAACTGAAGTGCTCTTACAGGTGTTCTTCAAAGAACTTTCCACCTGTAAATGTTGAAAGTCAGACAGTATTTCTAAGAGATCACAGAAGCGTAAGGCCAAAGAACAACATGCCAATAAAAAAAGATATGGTTTTCAAATACTGATGCTTAACAGATACAGTCAACTTTTTTTTTTTAAATCCAGTCAATAAAATCTTAAAAAAAAAAAAGAAAAAGGTATTTTTTGATATTGCAAAACATTAACATTTTCAGATTAACACTTTAATCCCCTATAAACAACCTCCCAAATTAGTTGATCTAATTATTTAGCAGCTTGAATGACAAAAGTATGCAGCCTTCAGTAATGAGTTCAACAAAAACTGAATACTGTAAATGATACGTCAGGCAGAAAAGTGTAAGAGATCAGGAATCCAACCTTAAATGATGAAGGGTCTCAATTTAGGACAGTGAACGAGTATTTTGTAACTACAAAAACCAAAGAATTAGTGGACATTCTCTGCCATCCATAGTCCTCCATGACTGTCAGACTCAGGATAGTATCTAAATCCCCAGTTTTTATTTATTGACTGCTATGATACTCTCCAAGTTATCCTGAGAGTACAAAAGCTTCCTATACCAAAGAAACGGGAGACAGCATAAAGCAGTACAAGCAGAACAGACCTGCTCCTTTATCCCCAGACGCACACTCACTCTTGCTGCTGTATTACTGACAGCCTTCAAACCAACAGTGCAATAGGACAGGTCCCCACGGGGTGGGATTCTTTGGCAAAATGAGGCAAGAGGAAGGTCCTTGTTTTGAATTGACACCAACCTCAGTGGCAGCCTGGAGATCCTCTTTCCCCAGATCAGAACTAGCGACAGCTGGTGGAAAGCATGTGCTCCTGACTTGATGGTCTGGGTGAAAATCCAGCATTTCAGATACCGCAGCTTTCAAGCCAAGAAGCATCTCACTCTTAGCCTCTGCAGACTGATGAGCAATGATTTCCCCAGCAATTTTTTTGTGCTGCGCAGAAGAGACTGAAGGCAATGAAGTGGGTAACTTAGCATTTTCCTGTTCTGCCCTGAAACAGTCTGTTTTCATGGGCTTCTCACTGCTGACACTTGTTTCTTCCCCGCTGGAATCACTGAGAACAATAATTCGGGATGGTTTCTTCTTTTGCATTGGGACAGAGTAGTTCTCTTCCATCCTGGCCTGGTTTAATTTTTTTCTGCGGCGAGTGAGGTATTGTTTTCTTCCACTAGTAAAACTCTCATTATTTAGGAGATCAAAATTAACACACACTTCCTCCTCACTAGATTCACTTTTTCTGCAAGTTTCCTCTTCCTCCTCTCCAACACAGAAACTGTCTTCTGCGTAACCCTGGTCTTGCTCAGGAATCTGGCAGGGGAGGGAAACCAAACCCAGTTAAGTTTTGAAACACTGTAATGATTTTGCTCCTCCTCTCCATAGGTGCTCTTTGCTTATCCAATCCATCCTACACACAAGCACTGCGGGGCCTAGGGGATTCTCACACCTCTCAAACCTCCCCTACTGAATATGCTCTGCAGTTCCCGAGCTACTTCCCTGGAGGCCCTGACACACTCGTAGCTGTGCCTGGAACAAGCGTACACTCAGATTTCGGTCAGGCCCGTGACTCATCACCAGAAAGCTTTTAATGGGAATATTAATTGTACTATCACAATAGAAACGAGACTCGCTCGCTAATACTACTATCAAACAGGTTGGAATTACAGACAGGAGTATCTCCTTTGTGCATCTCTGCACAGGGGGAGGCACTCTGAACCGCCACACTTGCACACTGGGGACAAGCTGTGGTTTTGCATGAAGAAATGCAGATTCCACACCTTGTACCACGTGCACAACGAACTCCGCAGCACATGCACAAGGCTGGCTGGCAAAAGCACTTTATGATGCCTTTGCATTGTGTAAAAGCTTTGCATTTTCAGCAACACTCTGCCTCAGCTGAAGCAACAACAAAACTGACATAATAAGCTGAGGCTGCCTGGAAATCGAGTCCCACACATTCTTCTTATCTGCTTGCAAATAATCAGTGGGCACAATCTGTATTTTTGTGTGTTAACAAAAGAAAAAAAAACAAACAAAAGATAAAAGTGGTTTATCCTTTTTATCAAATATAGATGTCTATTTTATTTTGCTGAAGGTGATATAAAAATCAGGAATACAGGATACAGAAAAAAAATAGGGGGAGATAAGGAACCATCCTGAGCATCTGTTTTTCCAATTCTGTGATTTCTTTGGTCACTATGAAATAACAAGGGAAAATTAAGTAACTAAAAAGTACTGTACAAGTGATTTATATCGTGATGTATGGAAAGTTCAGAGTAAAACAGAACCCAGAAGACAGATCATGTAGGAAACATCTCAGCTGAGCACTGTGACAACATTCACATGGAAGGGGAACACAACCAGGCATGACAGAAACCGAACCAAGCCAGGAGCAGCCGGAATAAGAAGTTAACATTTCTAAAGAAGCTCCGTTATGATAATCCAGCAACGTTTCACTGGCACTTTCATGAGTACACAGAACTAGTGCATAATGATACTGTATGTAATAGGGCAAGGGCTTGGCTAAGGATCTGCTTTGGAAACTCATTCATGCTCAGTAGTTACCCCATGCGGCAGGGGCACAACTAGCACCCGGGGACCACGTAAAGGGTCAGTCTCCAGTAACACTGGGGACACTGGGCAGCGAGAGGAACCCTGCCAGAGAGTGCTGAGGAGCAGCAACAAGCACTGTTAAATATGCTACCTTATTTTCTCATAAATGTTTCCAAACTTACGTTTCAGGAGCTAACCTTGCAATTGCTAGAGAAAATTTGATCTACTGGCACTCCTGCTTGCCTGGCAAGAAGAGCGCAGGGCAATCTGACATACAGGTGGGTAACAGGCATATGCCCCAACTGTTACACCTCTCTTTAGGGGTTGCTTGTTTCACCAAACTGGGAAGTCGGTTAAGAGACTGGAAACATCACATGCTGGGTGAGAGGACTCTTCCTCGGAAGATGTTAGTCAGTATCCTCTGTGACAGTGGAAGACAGCGGAGAGGAGGAATATAAGCTTCCGACCCTGGAAGCACCATGCAGTCCTACATCGATCAACAACGGTCACCGTAAGAGCTCTGCTCTTTGGTGAAAAGACAACTAGGGATTGGGATGCTTTTGCTTCAGACTGGTTGACAGCCTCTCTCTGGCTGAAGAACAAAGTGTGCATGCTTCTATGAAAGCATATGTGTCTGCACACTTTCACTTAAAGAGCAAAATGCAGTCAAAAGTCTTTTGTTAGAACTTATTAATTTATCAACAATAGGCTGCAAACTACACTTCAAAGTAGGATCAGAACCTAAATACAGTCACACACAATTGGAATTTCAAAAGGACAGCAATCATTTCGTTTCATACCTGTGAGAAAATCTCCATGTTGTTGAATTCACGATGAACCATTTTATATCTATTGCCAAGAGCTGGACTACGCACAGATTTCAGGTAAACTCCTGTCATCTCACAGTCTGAATTAAAACAAGAAGATAAAAGAGAATACAGTATTATTAAGGATACAATTTTTAATTCATTACTGTTACATCATGTTTTCCATATTAAGTAATTCCTTTATAGTCTCCCAAAAACAAGTATTTCACAAAACAAAAATTTGCAATTCTCCAGACATCTCTGGAAATCCCAAAGCAAAGGACTAGGTCTACCCAGCTTGCTGTCATGAAAGCTGCCATGTAGAAAGTTTTCCCAGCAGGCAGAGCTCTGGATGCCCATCACAGGGAGAAGAGCAATATTAGTCACAGGAAACCCAAATCACTCAGTTTTCCGTGTTGCAAGTTTTTCCCAAACCAGACACAACTGATTTCAGAGACTGTATGAGAAAGGGATGGGTGTACTGAAGCCCACACAGGATCTTGCAGGGAACAACTCACAGTTCCAGTGGAGGAGGAAAATCCTCAGCAACATCTAGGAATCTTAAACGGTAAAAAGATGATTCCATGAGGCAAATATCCCAGGGAAAGACAAAGTTCATAAGCACACGAGTAAGTAAACCACCTCAGCCAAAAAACAGCATTACCTACTCAGCTCTGTCAGTGTCAACACTGTCATTTTATCTATTGTTATTTCATATCATATTTTAGGTTTCTGTGTAACAGAAGACCTGAAAGATTTAGAAATTTCTAAGTGAAATGAAAAATTGTGTTTCTGTTCAGTCTAATGATGTATGAGGGGGTGGTTGACACTTAGCGAGAGGCGATCTCCTGCCCTCACAATCCTCAAAGAACTGACTCCAGCCTGCCCAAAGCTATGGTGCAGTAGAGACTCCAGTGAGGAACTTACTACATCAGAAAACCATGCAAATAAAAAAAAAAAAAAAAAAAAAGGAAAAAGCAGGAAAGGGAAAGCCCCTGATGTACCACAGCTGAGGAGGTTACTGCTTATTAGCTCTCACATACTAGCTGACTTAGCTGACTGAATGGCCATGCCTATCATACACCACCTACTAACCAATACCCCTTATCTTAGAACCATAAACAACTCTCCTCATTCACCATTTAACACTTGTGTGACCGCTGCATCATCATTCAGGAATTGAGCAAGTGAAGAGTTCAGCTCGTTCTCTGTGTCATCACTCTCATCAGATGAAACACAGTCTGCATCTTGCTGGGACAGCTCCGCTTCTTCATCTAGAAACTGTCTTGCTGCATTCTAAAAAAGAAAAAAATCCAGACAAAATTTCAGTTAGGAGCTGGCCCCCAATTAACTAATGTTACATATGAGACCTCTGATTAAATCAGTTCATGACTTCAGAACATTGGCTACTGAGATGATCACAGATATTATTAGGCTTCTGGCTTTGAAAAGAGAATCCGTCACAGGGAAAGGTGATGTAAAGAACACAAAGTTCAGTGAAATACAGGACAACGCACAAATGTCTGTCCCACCAGCACAGAAGGGTGAAGCTGGCATCCATTTTAAAGCACTGGCCAAAGGTAACCTGAGCATGTAGCACTATTTGCACCTAGACTAGTTAATAGCACAGGCAGAGTTTACTAACAGATTGTAGCTAAGCTACCCAAAAATATTAGGTTACTTTGTAACTTATAAATCTAGTTTTACTCATTTTATTTGCTTTCAAAAATCTGTTTTGATTTAGAAGTGCTGGACTACTCTGAACTCAAGCCCACTAGAAACTTCAGATACAGACTTCACACTGGTTTTCCCTTTTCTGTTCAGGACTTAGGATTAACTGTTCCATTAATTCATCAGACAATGCAACTCATTATTGAGAAAATGCTCTTCTTTCAGGGAAGATGAGGCACTTCAAATATGAACTGCAGTGCAGGAGACATGATACAAACCTTGGTACTAAGTTCCATCAAAAATGGACAACAAAACATTCACAAGAATGTACATGGAAACAAAATAAATGAATTCAGGAAGATGTTTTGTCAGAGATAATTTAGATTAAGTTAGCTTTTTATCTTATAATTTCAGCTATAAAGTACTAAAGTAAAACATGAAAAGAACTCCCCCAAAACATTATGTATCCCAATGATTTAAAAAGAATGATTTGTTTGCTTTCAAAATACTTTGAATAAAAAGCACAAAGCTGTAAATTTTAGTTTAGTACATGGAAGACTACGGCATCTTGTGCTACAATAAGTGACATCTCTGATTTTCAAATTTCCCTAAGTCTTTTAATTATTTGCTTACACCATTTAGTAAGCCTGAATGACAGGCATTATTAATAGTTCCTTTTCTAGAACAGTTTTGATTATTCTGAAACACACTGGAGGTCACCTGTTTACAGGAAAGAACTCTCAATGCTATTGCCAATTAGTCTTAATCCTTCTTATTTGTGAAGGACTATGGAGAGGACAAACCCTGCAGTATGAAAAGCACTGTGACACCAGAAACTAACAGTCAAGAGTCTGGTCACATGTGGGAAACAATAAGTTACCAGGTTCTTAAACTGAATTCAGTGCCACTGACTATTCTGGTCACCTTGGACTCTCACAATCTCCATTAATCTAACTGCAGATCTCTGCTGCACTTACAACTCCATTACCTGTACTTCTGACAGAACACTGTAACTGGTGGTGGACTGATCAGAATGATTTTGATGTCTTGGATCTTCTGTGGATCCAGAATTCTGACACGTTCATCACTATGGATGTTTAGGTAAGATGATGTGTGAAGGCAGAGTAGAATTCCATAAGTATACACATTCTCTTTCCATGAACCTTTTGGTCTCACATTAAAAAAATAAATGTTTAAATAAAATTGAAAAATGTATTTTTCATCTACCCCATTCTTCATATTCCAGAATGGAAAATCCTGATCCTATAGGGAAGCCTCCATAATGAAGATTATCTTTAACACATTAAAAATATCCAACAATGTGCCCCAGAGCCCTGATAACAGTGATTTCTGCCTAGTGGAACTACATCCATGCATATTTAAGAGCTTTTCAACTTACTATGAATATATGATTCTGGCCCTGCATCCTCTCCTGCCTCCATTCCTGATGCAGTGACAGATTAAAGTGTAAAATACTAAGTTAAGATTTAAGCTTTGGGGTCAAGGGACCATTGCTGTCTTCAGATGTTCAAAGTTGAAACCATTAGAGTAGGTGGTAAATTCATATGATCAAGTATTCTAATAGCATAAGTTCTGGACAAGAACCTGAGCTTCCCGAGTCTGACTGATCTTTGAGTATCTTCTATTTGTAATGTAAATTGTTATTTTGCTTCAGAACATTATTACACAGGGCCCCGCAGATTCCTCTGAAAGTCAGGCAATGGATGTGAGGGTTAAGATCGCCATCCAGCGTTTCAAGATTTCATCTCAAATGTTTGCAATAAACTTGTATGATGTAGCTATGAGCCTCAACCCTCCTAAACAACACCTTAGAAACAAACTGCCCAACTGCATGCCTACTGTAGTACAGTTGTATCATGAGATCCTACAAAGGCCATAAAATAGACAGAAGCTCAATTATTTTAGGCCATAAAATACACACAAGAATGAATGACTCGATGACACAGTAAATTTTCATCTTAAGTATGCGAAACCAGTGCTCAACATTTCTAGCATTTTCATGGTTTTTTTTTAATTTAAATATACACAAATTAGCAAATACTTTCAGTTCATTCTTACAGTTTGAACAGAAAGTAGAATCTCACTAAGTCTCTTCCTGCCTCTTTTTGGTTTTGTTTGGTAATGTGCTGCTCATGTTCAAAGACACGTTCTTCTGAACCAGATTTTGCAATGTTGCAAATGCGCACTCGCATACATACACACACCTATGACAAAGCACAGCAGTTACCTACATTGCAACTTCAGTGCACACTGCTCCAAATATGACCTTCAACATATTAAGAGAGACATGTAACGTCACATACCTTGTATGTAAAATTGCTCTTGACCTTTTGCCGTTTCATACTTCTTAGCTGTTTTTTGTTACAGGCTGCAGGGCTGCTATGTGTGGTCCTACTTGAGTTCTTGTGAAAATCCATGCTGTCATCACTGGACACGTCTGACTAGAGGAACGTTTCACAAACACTTCAATAAGTAAGACTAAAGCAAGCAATATTTTAATTACACAGTCATCCTTCAATATGTGGGGTTTTTTTCAGCAATGCCTGATTTTTTGCAATTGATTTGCTATGGCAAAATAATGCAATAATGCTAATCATCTTATTAAATACAAAAGGAACAGAAAAAAACATGTTCTTTAGAAGAAAAATCAGGTTAAATGTGACATGAATTTTTTCTTTTTTGATTCAAAGCTTTGTGGAAGAAAAGTTATTTACTGCCTTGCACGAAAGGAGAGGCTCAGCTCTCCTGCCTATAACAGTAGTCATCTTGGGAGACCTCAGGAAAGAATTCAAGGAAGGAAAGCAATTACATTCTAATATGCCTTAGGTCAGACAGCATGAAATACTTTTAATAAGAACACTTATTGACTGGAGAAAGAGTAAATGTTTCAATACATACACTCCGTAAATGAGTTTATATTATTTTTCTTCTGTCTCACCAAAGCACTTACTAACCATGTTAAGTGGGTGTCGACGTTTTCTGATGGCACGAATCGGTGATTCAAAATCACTATCATTCATAACCTATGTAAACAGAAATAAGTATAACTGCAATGAGGATTTTTGTTTTGGTGTTTGACTAGTCATTCTGCTTCTCTTTTTTTTTTTTTTTCCTTTTTTTTTTCTAAGACTCACATCAGGAGACTTCAAAACATTCTTTTTTTTCCTATTTTGTCTCTGGAAAACGATCTCTTCTTCACTTTCACTGCTGGCTCCTACAGAAAAAATAGTAAACAACATTCACAAGAAAATGCATTGTTCACAATACAATATTGCTATAAGTAAGCAATCAAAATCTGTCTCTCTTATAAAAGTACCTACAAAGGAGATTACTTATTGATCGGTGTGGCAAATATTGTTCTCTTTAGCCTTGTTAATCAAAATAAATAATCTACAGCTGAGATGTACAATAAATCCTACTTCCCTGGAGAGTCTCTGAGTGGAAGTGATTACCCCAGGCAGTACAGATACAGAAAAAGGGAGGTGAAAAATGAAACCAAGAGAAGAAGCTCTTAGAAGTTGAGTAAGAGTTACACTTCTGGAAGCGTTTTGTAACGCATATCCCTTTGGGTGCATTGAAGCAAAACCAGAACTCACTGAAAAGTCCTCTTTCCAATTCCTTCTCAAACAACTGCAGCCTTTCTGTTTTCACAAAGGACTGCCTTTATGAAACACAGTATCTTCCTTCACATTCTGCATGACAAAGCTCCAATTCTGACAGAGACCTTGGACTCAGTGTAGTAGACAGGCTGGCTAGTGTAACACCCTTCCTACCCCAAAGCAGGCTCAACATTAACTGCAGCTAAGGCATTCTGGCTTACTTTTTCCTCTGTTTCTTTGGGAGTATGGCAGGATAGGGTGGGATGGAGAGTTGGTTCCAACTAAATCACTCAAAGGTTTGAATTTCTTTAAGGAAAAGCACAAAATTCCTAAACATTCCACTTCTAGAATAACATATTTAAATACCAATAACTATCATTTCAACAACACACACTCTCCAGGGAGGTTTTCAAGACCCAACCGGACAAAGCCCTTAGAACCTGATCCAGGTTTAGTATTAACCCTGCAATTCTAAAACAGCAATTTGTTTCTTTCTGTGGTTTTGTTTTTAGGGATTTTGGAGGGGGTTTTTATTATTCTTTATTAAATAGATTACAACTTTTGAATTCAGCAAACTAACATATCAGTTTGAAGGTGTGATGATTCAGTAAGACAGGTTGCATTTGAGAATCAATCATCTTCGGAAAATATGACTATCAGACAAAATCAAAGAGAAGGAAAAAAAGATGCTTTAACCACCAAAAGGACCGCTTATGCTTTGTTTCAATTTTTAAGGGCAGTAACTAAACCATTCAGAAAAACTCAATGAGCCCTATGAATCAGACTAAGAACTATCAAGCCTGAATTATTTTGAAAGTAATTCAAGGTTATTCTGAGATAAATACAACAAAGGGTATGAATATGACCTGTAAGTGACTAGCGAGTGAAGAATGACAGTCATTTATATATTGGTAATATCTGAATATAAAATATTTTTTTATGACATATTGGTCCCAAGTGAGAAAAAGATGGAAGGGGAGAAAGAAGGGAGGAAATAAAAATAGAATAGAGCCTACAAACAGTCAATATTTTTAAGACAATCCTGGTTTGTGCTGAAGTTATAATCAGAAAATTTTAAATACAAGTCAGTTGTCATGCAACTAAACTGAAAGAAATCCATCAGTAGAGTTTCTATTCCTCAGGAACAATGAAAGGAAAATATGAAGGCATGAATTCAGGGACTGAAGTGCAACAGATCCAGATGATTACAAATCAGATACTGAGAAGATTAAAAAAGGGCTTTAAAGGCAGTTTTAGCTCACAAAACTGTGTCATGTGGTTGCACTGTTAGCACTTGCGAATCGGTACAAGAGGTTTAATTCCGAGTACTTCCTCCAATACACATGCATGCGTTTCAGCCTCAAATGGCTAAGCTCATATGCAGGGTTAAGTTTCTGGAAAGTCTCCCATGGTCCCAACTTCTAGTATTACAACCATTACTCCCTTTTCCTTTCATCCTTCCCACCTAAGTCATAAAACTAAATTGAGGATCCAAAAGATACTGGATTCTATTTATTTAAACATGAAGGTATTAACTAACTGTACCACTGAAATCCCTACCTTCAGCAGGAGATATACGTGAACTACAAAGGTTGGCATCTTCCAGGTTTTCAGTTCTTCCTAAAGGGGAATCAAGTGCATCCACAGCTGAACTCCCGAAGTTCTGCCTACGTGGGCTTTTGTTTACTTTATCTATAAGAGGCACCTCTGGAATTTCCTCCCTGGCACTAGGGAAGATATTCATAGGAATTCTTTTGATAGCTTCAACATTCATAACCTTTCTACTTGTTGGGGTAGTGAGTGCAGAGGCCAAAGCTTCAGGTGATCCACTTCCCGTTCTTCTGTCTCCTGACTTCAAGAAAGGCACTGCAGTGGTAGCATCCTCAGTCCCTTCTCCATCATTCATGCTCCTGCTCCGGAATGGCAATGGTGTGGAAATATCTCTTCTCTCAAAACTTTTGCAATCCCGTTTTGGTGATGTTTCAAGTCTGGAGCTATCATTCAGTAATTTGTTTTTATCTTCAGTGGATTTAACATCTGCATGACTCCCTGAGGCACTGTTTAATTTTCTGGTATTATTAATATTTACATTTTCTTCAAAGAATTCATTCTCACACTCTTCGATGGAAAATCCCAGATCAAAGTTAACAGAGAACAGTTCTAGAGAACAGTCATAAAGATCATCGTTATCCAGAAACTGCTCGGTCACACTAATATCACCTGACATTTCCACGGTTGTGGTTTCACTGCTTATAGGCTGCTCCTTGCAGGTTTTGTCAGGGTTCACGCAGCACATCTCTGGAGGAAACCACTTGGAGCCTCGCTCTGCAACTGGCCTAGTAACACTCTCACCTGAATCTGACCGAACTAAATGCTTATTGCTCAGAGAAAAAATTCCATTATTTGTGTCATAAATGCGTTCATCTTCAAATAAGTGTATTCTCTTCTCTTCATCAATAATCAAATTTTTCTTGTTAATTTCAAGATCTTCTTTATCTTTTTGAACAAAATACTTAATTGAAGGGTTATTTGTCAGAGTGTGATTTATTGTTGGCGTTTTCTTTCGAATGTCAGTGAATTCTTGAATTTCAGTGAATTCTTTATTGGCAAACAGACTATCAAAGCTGTCGTTCCACTGAAGTTCCTCTTTGGCACTAACAACAGCAGTTTCAGAAGATGATACGGTTTTTGAAAAACAGGTACTTACAGAAGCACACAATTCACTGGTGACTTTCAGTTCAGGATTTTCAAAGAGCAGCAGTGAACAATTAACTTCTGAAGATGCAGGAAAGACTTTGTCCTGCAGTCTTTCTGAATAACTATCAGAAATAACGTTTTGAAAAGGACATATTGTTTCTTCATTTCTCATCATGTTTTCAAAATCATAAAGTTTATTCAGAGAGGGAGGAGATTGTAATAAAAGCCTTTTCACGTGGGAAAATACTTGATTTAACCAAGAAGGCTCCTCAGATGGTCTCACAAGTGCAAACGAATCCACATATGATTCAGGAAGATAAAATAAGTCAGAGGACACAGCTGATTTCTCAACTGTGAAGCTACTATAACCCGAATCTGCGTCATTTGTCCCCAGTGACCTACAAGCTTTATCTACAGTTTTGTATTCCTTTATTGCTGCACTTTCATGAATTATACTACTTTCACTGTTGTCACACAGGTCAATAAATTCATTTAAGTCAAATGTCACCTCTCGTTCCTCATCCTTTTGACTGCCCTGGTCAGTATTTTCAACCAGAGCAAGCCTTCTTTCTGAGTAAGAAGCCGAAGTATTAGTATCTGTAGGCAACACAGGCACTTCCAAATTTAATCCGGAAGATCTTTTGGGAGTCTTTGTTTTTGTTACTTTAAACGTGGTAAAGAATTCACTCCCATTATCATTTGTATCAGGTAAAAATGGTTTTACTTTTGATCTGTGTGCCATGTCTTTTCTAGATGAACATGCTTTCTGATCAAATGTGGAGTTGATCATGGAAAGATGACTTTTATTCCTTTGAACATGAACATCTTCAATACGTAAGTGAGGCTGAATCTCCAGTTCATAGCTGCAATCTCCCTGGTGACAAAGACAATGCAATATTTACTATAAATACATACAGGCTTACAAGGACTTGTCATAAGGATATTTAAAACAAGTGACAAAGGTTTTCATACTCCTAAAGGTTATTAGAAAGGAGAAAACAAAGGAAAAAAAAAGAAAAAAAAAAAAAAAAAAAAAGGAAAGTGCTTTGCATTTAAGGTCACAACTCTCAAAAAAACCCGTTTGCTGCCAGCAACTGCAAATCCATGCTTGGGTAGTCAAACCTGAATGTTTTAGAAAGACTAAAAGATACCATGCATAAATAAAGATGGCATTTAACAGAGCACCAATCCACAATATTCTGCACTGAGCATCTGTGTCATGCAGTTAGGATGCAGTTCTCAGAACATTAACAGCAAGCAACTTCACTTTGCAATAAAATGTGCAAGGTATTCTATCCTCAGACAGGCTAATGCTTACAGGCTGTAGTTCTGGGAGGACTAGCAAATTGAGAAAGGTGCTGTGAGCAGAAGAAACTCTTATTCAAGCACAAGCGAGCCTGAAGTTCTCTGTTCTCTTTGTACTATCGTTTGTAATTTGGCAATTGCCATTGATGGCACATTAAGAACTTCTCACTTACATACTCTGAACTTTTTTTTTTTTTTCCCATGGATGCTTATTAATCTCCTGTTTAAAAAGGCACTGACCTAGGCAACCAACTCTTGAAAATACACTTGAAAAAAGCACAATAGACTTTGACATCACTCCCAGTTAGGTATCCATACAAGGACTGCCTAGATGGAAAAGCTATTTATTTATAGTCCTTCTCACTCTCTCTTTTAAATTACGATTTCAAAATTCAGGCATGCAATCTCCAAAAGGAACAGTTAGGGTCAAATGAGGCTCTAAAAGGAATGGTTTGAAATACTCCTTCAAAGTTCAAACCTGTTTCACTAATAAACAATAAAAATGAGGATGTAAGATCTAAACAGAAGGCACAATTATTTTTTAGCAGTTCAGGCAGATGAATCCCTAGACTCATTAGTCCCCGAAATTAAACAAGGCAGCTTTATAGAATAGTGGGTGATAAAACTGACTTTTACAATAAGAGGCTACCTGCTTCCTATACAAGTAACATTCTCCAAAAGTCCTAGCATATATAAGTAGGAAAAAAATAAGGTCCTCATAATCATAACCTCTTGAACCCTCCTCACTGTCCCACAAGAATATTATTACAGCAGTTATACTTCAGCTTGTGCTAGTCATGCTGATATTCACTATTCAAACTCCAACAGCACCTGTATCTTCCAGCAGCGTATAGTAACCTCCCATCCTTCTCTAGCTCTTCACAAGCTAGATCCATCACTCCCTATTACATCTACCCAAGCAATGTGTGGACTCTTCTCCCATGGGCACAACCCCTGGTCTTCACTCACAGAGAACATGACTTCTCATTTCTTCAACACTTGGTCTCTGTGTAACTGAGTTGCTACGAAAGTTCCCAGAGCTGTTCTAACCAATGGCACTGTGACACCAACATCTTGATAAAACTGGGACCCCTGGGACCACCAGGGCATCTCTTCCAAAAGAGACTGTGAAGAAATTAAACAGTTTGGGTTTCTACAAACAGTACACCTAGAGCTGCTGTTGAACAACCTTTTACTGCTAGACTCCTTACGGGAGCTAGAGGAGCCAATCATGGAAAACAAGGTTTGAAAAATACTCTGCAAAGTCATTCTACCTCATTACACAAGGCAGAAATAAGCATACCTAAAATTACTGCTGCATGGCTTGTCTAAACGTATTCCTGAAAACAGGATTCAAAGCTGTCTTCCATGCATTTGAAGACAGATCACATCCTAACACAGTTTTGGATCCTTTCTGGTTGCAGTAGATAAAGTACACTATCCAGAATTAACAGTATTTTTTCACTCTCAGTAGTAGTAGTAGTAACAACAATAACAATAATAAATCAAAATTTAGATTTTATCACTAACTTCATACACATGCCACAGAAAGTATCATATGCAGAATAAATAAGGAAGAATCTGTGTACAGGCTGTTTTGGGGTCAGGGGCACAGCTGGTTACAAATCCTGTTTACAGCAATAAACACCTGTGTCTCAGCAACAACGTATGTAATTTCTATATGGTCAGCACAGTAGAGTGGTAGCGGGGGGAGGAAGTTCAATTGCTAGAGATTTGTCTCTAAAGGGCTGTGAAACACCTACTCCATTTGTCACTACAGATGTTACTCAGCTGCTACACAGTTATTGCCTATGCTTAGGCTATCCATTTACAAATATATCCAAAGAAACTAAAAGTTAGGATTTTTTAAAAAGAGATCTCCAAGGAGATCCACAGGCTATACAGGCTGACTTATAAGAAGTCTTAATACCAAAATAGTGAAGAAAACAATTACTATGAAAGGATTAAAGTATGATTTTGATATGTGTAGGTTCTAAATAATTAGTTTCCCTCAAGCTCAGTCAAAACACAGATATGGAAGTCTCTGTATGATATCAAAGAGGAGTAACAAACAACAACAAACATGACCTGGTCCAATTAACTTCACAAATGTTGTCGGAGGAGAACACACATTTGGTTGACAAGATAACGGTGTTGATAACATGTTTAGATGTATGTAAGTAGCAACTGAATGTTGCGTAACATTTCAGTTAAAGTATCCAAGCATTATAGGAACATATATGGATTAAAGATTGATTAGCTGCCAAACCACTAAACCTTATTGAAAAAGAAGTAGGTGATGCTTTTGCCCACCCAATACGCTTCTAAGAGGTGCAGAGCAGATCATTCTTGGCCCTATATTGTTCCGCATTTTTTAAGTAACCCAAAGTAAAGCAAACCAAACCTAATCAAACCTGCAAGAAAAGATGAGGGGTGTGAGTAGGTAAAAGGATAATTCAAATCATAACTGGACCAGAGTTAGAACAGATAAGAGCAAATAATTCATGTTTTCATATGGCCAAACATGAAGTTGCATGTTTAGGATGGTAAGAGGTAACAGAACCATATCATGTCATCCAAAGGACCTAGAGAAACTCAAGAATGAAGTTCCTGAATTGGTAATGGTGGTATGTAATCTCTTGCTTACATGCCTCGGGAACTACGTGGCAGCAAACGTGGTGCCATTTTTTAATGGTCAGGGAAGAACCTAATAGGTTGCTAACCTTATCTCCATACTGAATAAATTAGTAGAAGCTGTAACAGATAATATAATTACTGGATGAGTCTTCTTCAGAAGTGTCAATATTGCTTTTGAAAACAAAAACTCAGACCTTACAAACCCATTAGATTTCTTTGAAGAGACCAACAAGCAAAAACATTGACATGCTCTCATGCATACCATCTTCCCAGCTTTCTGAAAGGCTTTCAAAAAGTCCCTGCCAAAATCTTTAAAGAAACTTAAACAGAGAGAGCAAAACAGGGAAATTTATTGGATGGATAAGTAACCGAGTACAACACAGAAAACAGGAAGAGCGAGGAGCTGTTATACTGAAGGACTTCATTAGGCCACTGCATATACCTATAATTACGTTTTAACTTGGCGGCGGGCATGGGGGGAAGTCTAGCAGAACTGCTGTGTGCCAGGACAAGTCCAGAAGACAAATTTAGCATCTAGGACAAACTTTAGTAACCTAATTTCAGGCTTACATGGAGTTATATAACTGTTCTAGTTCAACTTAGTAGTTCAAAATACCTTCTCCCAGACAAAATACTTTCTCCTAGTGAGTCTAGTTAATACTGATGGAGTGAAAGGACAGAATTATAATTATCACATTTTAGCCTGAAAGTGTACTGGCAGAATCTTAAATTACCTGATAAGCCCTTCTATAACCTAGTAAGCTCCAGTGTGTACCAGCTACTCAGTAAATAGGTCATGCAGGAGTAGAAAAACAGGGATCTCTCTTACATTATTGTACTAAATCGATGACCTTGCTTAGAATTACTGATTCAGTTTAAGAAGCAATAGGTTTTTTAATATAGAAAATAAAAAGGAAGAGTAAACTTAAGATATTAAAATTTTCATTTCTAATATATAAATATATGTGTATACACACACACACACTGTTATCTAGCATTTAAAATTAAGGCAGCTACTATCAAAATTAAAATTAACCTCTCTCTCCTTGTAAGCTGCTTTGGAGGTACACTTGCTAACGAGATTCAGATGCCTGCCAAAACCTTGCTGATTTTGCTATTTAAAAATGAAAAGATAAGTCTGTAAACAGATAAGGTCTAGATTTTAACAATTATAACTTCTTTAATCAAAAGCTTGATTGAAACAGAGGTAAAAGCAGCATGAACAACTGACATTTAAGTCTTTTCTGGCACAACACAGAACCTATTTTCAGAACGTTTTTTTGGTTACATCTAGGGAAGAAAGGCTTTTGGATTTTCAGCTTTCATACCAGGTGTTAAATCCCATGGAGTCCACACTGCCAATATAGTTAGTCACATGGGTATATTTTCTGGTTGACTTATGTTTTAGCATGAATATTAACAAAAATTACAGCAGTAAGCCTGGTGGTTTTCACACAGTATTTTGCATGAGTAGGTAGAGCAGATACCAAAGCAGCATATTCCAATCTATTGGAATGACAAGTGGTTACAATGTTTTCCTTGTAGGTGGATCAGTCGGTCCCTTAATACTCAAGAGAAGACGCTTGTGTTGCCCTCACACATGGTCCTCAACATGCAGAAGACACCCTTTAGTGTATTCTGGACAACAAAATGCTGTGCCTCAAATGCTCTCAAACCATGACCATTCTTCCCCCACTGCCCACAAATACTTTTCTAAGGCTTACAAATATCTCCTAGGCTATAATTATTGCTTTTAATATATTGGATATGTTAACACACACTTGCTGAGGAAGGTAAACTGCACTTCCATTGCAATCCAAGACTGCTGGAGGATAGGGAAATCAAAGCTTGCAGTTCTCCTCGGCTCCTCTCATTCCTACGAAGAGAGCTTCTGCCCTTCAGGAATCCTGCTCACCTGCTTGACAAATTGGG